GGGGCAGTAGGTGCTGGCCTGCGGAACGGAGCTGAGGGTCGGGAACTTCCTCCTGGCTGAGGACAGGTACTGAAGCTTCTTTCCACGATCTGTGCCTTTGCTAGGACTGCTGAATATGTCTTGAGCTCCAGTACTAACAAGTGTTGCCTGATCTCTGGGTGGAGACCCGACTGGAATCTCTTGGCCTTTCGGCCCTCATCCATCAATGTCTCCGGGGAGTATCCGCCCAGCTCTAGGAACTTACAAGCATACTCTGATACAGTCATGTTTCCCTGAACCAGTTGGACGAACTCTGTTTCCTTTAGGTGTCGGAGGTGCTCAGGGAGATACTTCGCATGGAAGGCCGCTAGGAACTGCTCCCAAGCGACTGGTGTAGGCAGGGTGGTCTGCTTGAGCTCCCACCAACATCCTGCTTCCCCTACCAGCATAAAGGAAGCAAGGGCAACTCTCTGCTCAGGAAGTACTCCCAATATCCTGAAAGCTCTCTCAGTCTCCGCCAGCTAGTACTGGGCTTCTTCAAAAGAGGATCCCCCTGCAAATGTGAAAGGGTTCAGTCTCCTGTACCTCTCTATGTAGCCCGGGTCGATCAAGGAAGGAGCGGGGTCCCGTGGAGGAGGGACTGGACCCGGCTGGGGATAGACTGGGGGGTCCTGTGGTGGCACCTGCTGATATGCTGGGGGCACTATGTCGTGCTGTGGTGGTGCCGGGTAGTACCGTGGCTGGGGCACCAAGTTGTACTGCGACAGTGGCGCCGAGTGGTACTGTGGAGGAGCAGTTCGTGCCGGGGTGGCTCGGGATCAGCCTGCTGTACCAGAGGCTCAACCTGCGGTAGTGGAGGAGGTCGGGTAACTCCTTCTCTCCCCTCGCCCTTGTGGGCAGCTATGAATCCTTCCATCATCTCAAATTACCTGTCTACATCCTCCCGAAGTGAATTATCCCGGGCCGCTCGGTTTAGTGGGGGTCTTCCTCTCCTCATCTCTCTGCACCTACATTTCATAAGGAATGATTGAGTAACAGTTTATCAGTGAATATTTCTCTAAGCATTATTGTGTAAGGGATGGGTCCGAGGAACCCAGCTCTGATACCAACTGTAACGGCCTCGGAAATTTAAATGAAATATATATATTAAAAATGTCAAATGCGGAAGCGTAATAAAAATTTTGATTAGCATCCCTTACACAATAACAAAAACGTACTCAAAACATGAAAGAACAAACTAACTAAAAGAGATACTCGAAATAAAAAGTATAAATATAGCTATGGAGTCTTTAGGCGTCCCCTTCGCCGTCTTCCTGCAGAACGAGCTCGGGAACAATGTCTTCCTGATCTGAAATAGTTAAATAAGGAATGAGCTACACCAGCCCAGTAAAGACATCACACTATCTCACCACCACGGAAGTAAAGGTGGGTAGAAAACAAAAATGACCAATGGAGCATAATTTATAACAAACTCGTTTATTAACATAAAAACTTTTACTGTCCACTTACCTCGGTGAGACCCATAAAAACAACACATGAAAGCAATAACATTATCATCATCATGAAATCATATAAACTTTATAACATAACACACATCATACATTTACATTTCAATCATCAGAAAACATATGTCCTCTTTTACCAGCCTACTAGTATCCCTGGGGATCCATAGGGGGTCCCCGCTACACGTGAACCATTAATATTTACAACCTGATTCCAGGGCCGCCCCCATACCCCGTCCGGTATGGGCGCCAAAACCATGAACCTTAACACCCCGTCTGGTATTAGGGTGAAACGGGCCGTCCCCATACCCCATCCGGTATGGGCGCAAAAACACATAAGGTCTCCATACCCCGTCCGGTATGAGAGACCACGTTCCCAGTAGGGTTCCCTACGAACCCGGTCCGTCCACCATCTCCCAGGATATCTAGTCAGGCTGTCCACATTATCCATTTGTCAATTCACATAACCTTTTTACCCTTTTTCTTGGTTTCAATCATCCAAACACACACAACATGTAAACCAGTAATGGACACCAAACAAGACAACACAGTATCGGGTTAAGCATAATACCAACTATAATAAAAGAAACAATGATTCATGCATACGAGACCATACGTAATTACATCAAAAATCATACTGCATTTAATACTGGAAATTAAATCAAACAATAACAGACCAACACTGTATCAGACTCGGGCTCCATTGGCAACCTTAATCAATTATACATTTATAAAGTCACACAGTACAGTTTAATTATTTATTTACCTTTAATACCGTGATAGGAAATAGGGTGAAAGGTCCTTACTTGTTTCGGGGTCTGAATACGGCTCTACAGTGCACTACAGGCTGTCCCTAATTTCCCTGATTTTTTTTTGAAAAACTGAAACGCACTACTAGTACCTGCACGTGTCCCAAAAAATTCCAAATCAGACCTAGGGCCCCTTTCGGCCAATATCGCAATTCCGGCACGGCGCCGCCGCCGCTTGCAGCGGCGATTTGCCTCGGGTTGGCCGTTTTCGGTCGAATTCGGCCACACTTGCATCGGTCCCTGCGATAAAACAACTCTAGGGCTCTCGGTGGGCCAAAAAATCACGAAAAACCAAAACTTACCAGCGGCGTTGCTCTCGGGTGCGGCGACTCCTCCGGCATGAGTTGCGTTTTGATGTTTGGCTCCGATCAACCTGTAGAGAAAAGAACGATGATCACAGTGGTATAAAAATTGCATCGAATGGAGGCCGGGAAGGGCCTCATCGGAGGTAAAAATCGAGTAGGGGCGCGGCGGCGCCGCTGGGCTTCGGCTAGGTTTTCTGGCCGTTTGGCCGGTGGTTTGCCTTTGGTTTGGCCACAAGCGGACTCAGCATCGAAAAACGAGCAAGAGGGAGAAAATTTACCTCGATCGGCGGTCGGAAACTTCCCCGGTGCGGCGGCGGGTGGCGGCGGTCGGCTCCTCCGGCGTCTGGTTCTTCTTCTCCGGCGAGGCACTGGCGGCTAGGGTTTTTGTGGTCAGGTGTGGGTGGGGTTATTTATACCATTTGCCTTCTAATCTCAACCGTCTATCAAGATTAAATCTGAACCGTTCAATCGCGATTTAATTGGGATTAAATCTGGGCCGTTCATCGCGATGCAATCTGGGCCGTCCGTATGCGCAGGAATGGATCTGGGCCGTCCGATCGCGCGCACGCGGATCGCCCACGTGGCTCGTTCCCTGGTTAGCGTTGACTTGCCACACGGCGCATCCTGGTTGGCCGGGACTGCTGACCGGGCCGCTGACGTGGCACAACTTTTCTAAATTGCGTTTTGACCTCCGGTTTTCGATTTTCTTTTAAAAAACACCATCAGAATCTAAATTTTCACCCATTTTTCTCAAAATCAATTTTAATTAAATCCAAATAATATTTTTACCCAATTTTATCATTATTATTATTTTTATTTTCATTAAATTAAATTAAATTAAATTAAATAAAAAATCAAATAAATAAATAAAGATAAAAATAAATAAATAAAATTTTTTATTTTTATTTAGGTGTGACATACATACTCTTCAATCTAACGACAAACTTATGTGATGCATATATAATTAACTTTAGATGCTTACGTTTGCTGATGCAAATCAGTTCATAAATAATTACACACACATATATATATATACATATCATTTACACATGCATATGTAAGCCGGGTCACTCTCATTTTAAAAGAACTAATTACTTAATATAAAGATCACCTTAAACCTTATAAAATAATCATATATGTGTTATTAAATAATAATTATTTCTACGGATGTTACACAAATAGTAAACTTGAAATCCAACTTGAGTTAAAATTATTTTAATATCGAGACCATATTTATAATAAATATAAAATTTGTGTGATATCTATTTAAAAATTACATTTACTTCAACTAAAATATAATAAAAATTCACATATAAAATCATAAAAATTGAACTTCTATAATTTAATCAAACTTAATAGAATTTAAAACCAATTTAATATTGTCAATTATACACAAAATTTTCATATAATTTACTTGTCCATTTGTCAAAGTTTCATTACAAACATGGATTTCCTCTAAACGGGCAAAACGTCGTCGTTTAAGTCTTCGTTGAGCCTCGAAGTTCAGAGACTTCCCATTTTATCTCTCGCGTACGCATACACGTGGCAGACAGCCAAAGCTCCATCCTCAATAGCAGTAAAAACTTTCCTTCTCCTGCGTTTGCGTGCTCCGTCTGAACTGAGAATCGGCCTTCTCAGCTCCTCCTCGATCCACTCACTCAAATTTCGACTGTTCAGTAAGAGAACAGCCGATAGGGAGATGGAGTTGTGAAACCAGTGATTTTCTTGTTCTCCAAAAGGAAAAAGAACATGCAGGGTTGCGCTGTTAATAAGTCACCACCAATCATTTCAAGAGGGAAGCTTCCTTTTTGTGTCCTTGTAGGCTCATTACCATGTTTTCGTACCATATCGACAAAGCCTCTCTCTCCCTCATGTAAGTTCACTCTTCAGATTTTGTTTTCTTCTGTTTTTTTTTTTTTTGTGTTTTTGTCTTTTATACTAGAATTTCTTTATGTAATTAACGTAGTAAATTATATCAATGGCATAAACTCGGTTTCTTGATTGAACTTAAGGGCTGATGTAAGTTAACTTTTTTTGAAAATTAAATTTAGATTAGTTATAGGCTATTCATAAGCCTGGGTCTTTCTGTGGGGTGGAATGGGGACCTAAATTTGATGTGCAGAAGGGAAAATAATTCACAATAATTTAGTTATGCGGTGTGGAAAATATCGACAGGCAATTGAGATTTCGAGAAGAGACCATTTTTAACTACTATATATAATGAGGAATTATTATGTACGACGAGTATATACTGATATACCATCACACTTTCATTAATAGCTTATTGGACAGCTAACTTGTCTGGTATAAATTTTTATGGTGAAATCTTTTTCTTATTGTTAATGAAAATGTGATACTATATGGATAAGTACCTATTACATAAACTAATTTTTCCTATGAACATAGCATTTTGGGAGTTTTATATGTCTGAAATTGTCTTTGGGGTGGCAACAATTATTTGAATCTTGGTGCTTATGTTAGTGGTTCTGTGTAAGCTTAAAGAAGTTGCAAGCGATGAAGATATAAATCCAAGTAATTTATATTATTTGGTGTTTCTACATTATCTTTCTATAGCATTTGGCTTATAGGAAGCGAGAGTGCTAATGAATTTACTGATTTTTCACAATTTACTTATGGAACATGATGAATGGAAAGCTCTTATTATTTAACCTTGATGGTTTGCAGGGTTACAAATTTGCATCGGATCATGTTCAGTTATCAAAAATGATGTTTTCATTCTCTTACCATGTTTAAATTCTTAGACATTGGTTGCTAGCCAGAATCCAGAAGAGTACTCCATTTTTTTTCTCCCTCCTAGGATTTCTAGATATGTACTTTATTATTCTGATTTTGTCATGTGAATTAGAATTTTTTTTTTGAAATAAATATGAATTAGTAAAATAATTTTGTAATTGTACATTCTGGGAAAAAAACGATTTTGAAACTTCCAATTTGATTTTATTAAGTAAATAATTTAAATCATGTTGCCTCATACAGTAGTTTGAATGATACAAATTTACTAATGTTGGATTGAAGCTGTTTCTGGATAATATTCTTGGACCATATTTGTATTTTTAATAATGCTGTGCTCTTAAAATAGTCTACTTTTTCCTGTTTTATGTATTGGTATTTTTTCCATTGGCAAATATTGTTTTCCAAAATCATTAAATGTAATGATGCATACACCTAACTGTTTTATAGTAAGATGTAGACAAATATCAAGGTTGCATTCAGCATGCTGCAGATTTAGAGCGCAAGCATCCAATGTTAGTATTGGATCTGGAGGCTATGAAGGTAGAGAGGAGAAACATGATCAAGAGAGTTATGTCAATGATCCGTCTGGTGACGGCTCAACTAATATGTGAGTGTTACCTAATTGATGGTTTTTGTTTCTACTTTTATTTCAGTTTCTTTTTGGGTTATAACAGGAGAAAGCCTATACTTTGCATGTACAGAAAGAAAATGAACTCATTAGCTTTGTCTTTACCCATGATGAGTTTCCTTCTAGAGAAACTAGTGATCCTTCTGCATACTGTATTAGTCTACCAATAACATGGTTAAGTGTGAGACTTCATAATACCTTGAATGGGTTACTGCCTTGCCCATAAATGCATAGGTAGCTGTCAATATGTGAACAAGAACCAGATAGGTTGGCCTCTGCTTTTTATTTTCAGGCAGATGTCATTAAAATGAAATAATTTTAACAACTGTACTTAATTCATTTTTAATCTTTGTCCATATGTTCACAATTTTGCAGTGTGAAGCCTCCCACTCGAATCTCTTATCCTTTGTCTGTAGTCCTTGTGCTATTTGGATGTGCTTTACTATTTTCACTGATTGCCTTCGGGAAGGGAGGGTCATCATCAGCCTTAGCAGCAATTGCAAAGTCTGGATTTACTGCTGCTTTCTCGTTAATATTTGTCTCTGAAATAGGGGACAAGGTAACTAATCCACTCTGGCAAGATTTATGATTGATACATTAAATCAACCATAGAGATATCAAAATTTATCTTAAACCCCATCCATGTTTGTGCTTACTCGTGTGCTCGTCTGCTTCTTTTGATGGGCAGGTTGTACATCTTTGATGACTCATTTTCTGATTTATTCAGTTCAACTAGATTATTTGTGTCTTCACCACTTTCAAATGTTCTAAACAGCTGAAAGCTGTACATTGATGCTAAATGTGCTGGCTCTACAACTTACATGCTTGAATTTATTTTACCCTATATTATCAAAATTGAGTGCGAGTATCCATTGGGAGTAGATCTAAGTGTTTATATCGATAACTCTAGGGTGAAAGATATGGGAAGTTGGTCAATAAGAATGCAACAGTTGGGTTAAGCTTTTGGATTCATATGAAAAATAATAAAGCTAATATAAGCAATAGGAAACTAAGATGATGTCGTATCCATAACAGAATATATCAAGTATATAGAGCAACAAAGAAAAAACATCAGATTTATATTTGTAGTGAAAATGAAAAAAATATCAATTAGTAATATATAATTCAGTATTTAGTAATTAATATATTGCAAATTGGTATATATATATATATATTTTTTTCATTTAGACATTCAAAAGCTAGTTTTTTCATTCTCGTATTCCTTTTCAACATCTAACCTAAGAGTCTTATGACGTCTTCATATTATTATCTATCATAGTCTCTAGTTCTAGATCATCAAGTGTCTGAGATGCATCAAATGTTGGACATAAATCTAACACCACATCTATATTGGGCCATATTTGACACATTAATGGTAGCAACAGGGTTTGCAGGTTGATACATGTGTTATGTTACTATGCGATAGCCTGTGGTATTGGGTGCTAGCATGTTCAGTTTTCAGCTTGTCTAGTTAATAGTTTTTCCATTAGTGGAAGTCTCCAGTGGTGATACTCTTAGAGTATCTCAAGTAGACACGGATACTTCTAGGATGAAGTTTGTGTAAAAATGCTTCTGTGATCTTTGTGCAGCAGAATTGACAGCTGTAATACCAAACTGAATTTTATACATGAGGAGTATATCTGAACGCCACTTCAGTTGGTTATAGTCAAATTTGAAGTAGACTGAAATGAACAATAGCAAAGCAGACAATGTCAATACATTTTGAGTTTTGAAACTAACTTCCAAGTAAAAGAGAAGGATAATATAAAAAGATTTTGAGTTTTTGAGTTAAAATAAACTTTTTTTTATCAACCTCAAAACATCACGCAAAATGAGTAGAATATTTATACTGACTAATAAGCTAAACGGGTTAACAATATGTAGCTTGCTGCTTTTTTTTTTTTTTTTTGTGAATGTAGCTTCCCGCTTTTGTAAGCTTCTTTATTGTGCTTTACTCCATGGAATATCATGAAAGTTGTTTTTGTGCATATTCTATACCTAATTAGGAGTTTTTTTTTTGGTTAGTTTACTATATTTAACTGATTGGATGTATTCATTGGATTGAAAATTTAAACATGAGAAATTTCTCCGACACCTATTTTTCGCATTTCATATTGTGGAATGGTCCTTAAGTTTGACTTTTTATTTGTTGATCAGACGTTCTTTATTGCTGCACTCTTGGCCATGCAATACGAGAAGGCACTGGTATATTTTCTTTTAACTCTCTCTCTCTTTTCCTATTAAATGGTGTTTATGTACAGTAATTTTATTTTTTATTTTTGATAACTTTTTGTTTCTTCTAATAACCGAAGCTTTAAGAGATGAATCCACCCAAATTTTAAATTTTTGCTTTCACTGTTTCCTAACAGATTGAACATTTGACACAGAAGTGCTTTTACTTATTACCTAGTTGTAGATTTGTGATCATAAATATATCTATTTTAATGATCTTTCTGCAACGTCAAGGTATATGATGTATGCATCACCTGCATGATGAATTTCTGAATATAAAAGTAAGTTTTATTGCTAAGGTTTGTAGGACTGTATGAAAATTTTATTGGCAAATGCATGCTTTTATAAGACGTTACTAATAAGAATTAAATTGTTGGCAAGGTTCTTTTGGGGTCAATGGCTGCTCTGTCTCTTATGACAATTTTGTCAGTTATAATTGGGAGAATTTTTCAGTCTGTGCCTGCTCAGTTCCAGACTAGTAAGTTTTACTTCGGTTATCTATCATTTCAGTGACATTATTGGCATGTTTGGTAACTGCTACTCCAATGTAACAACATGAGCCTTTGGGTGACTCAGTAGTAACATTATGCTATAACTTCGTGACCATCCTTGATTTCAAGATGATCACTTTGATTGGTAATGGCACCAATGAAGATCTTCAAAATCTAATTGGCTTTTTTCATGTCACTGTAGTGATTCAGCTCTAAACCATTTTGCTATTCTAGTATGTATTTTTTTATTTATGTAGTTTTTTCGTTTCCTCAGTGCCTTGACAGACTTTTATGACCTTGTCTGCCACTTATTTCTGTGATTTCTGTCACTTGATTGACACCCACTTGTGGTTTAATTTACTGATATTGGCAGTTCAACTGTAAATGTGTTATACACCACTATATAGCTTGAATGCAAGTCGTTGTGTACCGTATAATTGCAAGAAAGATTTTTTGTCTGATGGTATTGTTATGATAATCAGAAATGCATACCAAAGTTCAGAGAATAGAGATTGTCAGAGTATATCAACTTAAGTGTTTGGATTATTAGTCATTGAAATCTATTATTCACATGGTACTTAAGCAAAATATCTTAGGGTTAAATCTTTGGATCTTCACCCCTATTACTGTTTGCTGGTTTCTTGCTCATAGTCGGGCATCTGTGCCTGTGTCTGGCTTGCACCAATTCAGCTTTAGGTTCATATATTAAGTTTATCCTGCTTCATGCAAGATGTTATGTTAGAACACATATAACAAAATTAGATTCTTTCCTGCTATAAGCTTAAGCTTTTTGATTAATTTATCTTGCCTCCACTGACAATTAATCTGTCTTTTATATTGTATTATTATTTTAGATTTAAGCAATTAGAAATCCTTCCTTCAAAGGTTCCAAACCATGTAGTCATTGTGGTAGAAGAATGCAAATTCTGTCACAATTTTTTGTAGTTTAAGAATAAATTAATTCCCACCACCTTCTTTATTTCAAAAATTTTCACCTTCTTGGTCCCAATCCTCATGATGAAAAATTTCAACCTTAAAAGTTTTCTAGTAACTGCCATTTGCTGTTATCTCAAAAAAAAAAAAAAAGTAACTGCCATTTGTTAGCAAATAGCTTAGGTTAACATGAGAAAGGTCGCAAGTCTCTAGTGGTACAGAAGTTAATATCTTTTGATACTTCCAGGCTTCATATTTTTGAAAGGTTGTAGGTCCGAATCCTTTGTAACTTATGATGCTATGCTTAAAATTCGCAAATTCATTAGGCTCCATATTTTTGAAATCTGATATTTTTATCTGATGTGCTAGAACCTAGCGGTTATTTTTCATACTAAATAGTCTAACATGTGTCATCCTTTGGTAAAACAGCTTTGCCAATTGGAGAATATGCGGCAGTGGCTCTTCTATTGTTTTTTGGTCTAAAATCTATTAAAGATGCATGGGACCTTCCATCTAGTGATGTAAAGAGGGGTGAGAAAAATGGCCCTGAACTTGATGAACTAGCTGAAGCTGAGGAACTTGTGAAAGAAAAGGTATTGTTCTGAGTGCTTCCAATACATTTACTTTTTATTATTTTTCTTAACAATTACTACAGATCTCTATGTTTGCATGTATTTTTTTTTTTCTTTCTAGTATATTTCGCTAAATATTTTGATGTTTTCTGTTCAAACTGTTCTCAGGTGACCAAACGACTGTCAAATCCACTTGAAATTCTCTGGAAGTCATTCAGCCTTGTATTCTTTGCTGTAAGCATTTCTTTGCCATTTCTTTCCTGAGAGAATCTATAATGGGAAAAAGTTTCTGCTTGAGTTTTATTTCAACAAATATGGCTGCGGTAGTCTCCATTATATTGGTGATTGCCACCCTTTTTTAGCCTAATGTCTGTCTGGAGGTGCCATTTTCTGAATTCTGGGAAGTCCTATTGTGAAAATGTATTCATAAATGTCATTTTTGTTAAATAGCCACGCATATCTGTGCACATCTTATGTAACATACAAGTAGAATCCTTTCATGCCATGATATGGTTGTTTTATTCTAGATCAAACCCATTGTAGCAGATATGATACTAATAGATGGATGCTGAGTATTGTTTATCATGTCTTGATTTGAATGTAACATTGTCCTCGAAATCTTTTTTGTTTTGGTAAACGCTCTTTAAAAGTTTCTGTCCTTAAGCATGTTCTCCAATTTAAGTATCTGCCTTATTGCTCTTAGGAATGGGGGGACCGCTCAATGCTTGCAACAATTGCTCTTGCTGCTGCACAGGTGCAATTTTGCGAACTTTTATTCATGATAATAATATGAACTTGCTCTTAAGCAAGTCAAAGTGTCTCTTAACATTCCCTTGTTTCCCCTTTATAGTCTCCATGGGGCGTGGCAAGCGGAGCCATTGCTGGACATCTAGTTGCAACATCGCTGGCAATTCTAGGAGGAGCATTTCTTGCAAATTATGTTTCAGAAAAACTGGTAATAGTAACAACAGTCTTTACTCTGGAGCTAAAAATGTATCTCGATGGCTACTCAGTTTGTCTTGTTTCTCCAGGTTGGCTACTTGGGAGGATTCTTGTTTCTAGGTTTTGCTGCCGCCACATTTTTTGGAGTTTTCTGATAAATCATCGGGAACTCGAAGAGAGAGAAAGAGGAAAATAAGGAAGAGTTTTTTTGCAACCATCCTGAAACATTGCCTTTCTTAAGATCAGAACAGTTTGATCTGAAAGAGAAATTGTAGGAGATGGAGAAGATAATTGGATCTTGAGATTTGGGGGTGGGGGGAGTAATCATATTATTCAAAAGTCCAAAGTTCGTTGAAAGTTATGCTTCTTGTAACAATTGAGCATGCTCAAGAGTAATCTGATCTGAGGAAAAGATTAGTTTTTGTAACATGAAGTTCTTTTAGATACAGTTAACTGTCGTTAATTAGCTTCATTGATCTATTATTTCTATTTAAAAAATCTTGACATTAGAGGGTCACTGAAAGTTTAATGTACCATATGTAATCATATTTTTTATTTTTATTTTCGTTTTCTGAAATAAATGTCTTTTTCAATAAAACAATGCTTATTTCAATATATATATATATATATATATAATTTCTTTAAGACTAGATGCGAAATTAGATGCAGATCCAGTTAAATACCAAATAGGACGTAACCCTTTTAAAATTCCTCTGGTTTACCTTGTTAAATTCTATGATTTAGAATAAACAGATGAAGAGAGATTTACTTATGAATTCACAGAATCAGATGGCATGATGTAAAAAAGCATCTTGTCTTGTAGCAGGGAGTGGTGAAGAAGTGGCCACGCCAGCAGCAACCAGGTCCATTTTATCACTACATGTACAACACTGAATCACTAACAAAAATTGCAGAAGCAGAAAGAAGGATTTTCCTTCAATGGAGCTGGCTACTTTCCCTTCTCAATATTATCACCTGAACCGACTATACACACCATTACCATTACTTCTGTGTTGCAGAATCAGATCCAGGAATAGACTAGTTCCAAAGTTCACACGAAGAACTAGTGGTATTATAAACACAAGTAGAAGAAAATCATCATTCTTAACAGCATCAGCATCAGCAGCAGGAATCCCACTTCCACCTTTGGATTTGACCGAAGAAAACATTCAACAAGTCTTAGCAGATGCCCGTGTTGAGGTAATCATCTCCCTTCTCCTTCGTTCAATAACAATGCATGGTTTAGATTGATAGGTTAAGACTTCATTCGACCTTACTGGTGCTTGTGCTGTAAGTAAAAGTGCTTTGAGGAGAACTTTCAGATTTTAGAATAAGGAACATTTTTAACGTTGATGCTCTATTTGGGTTCAATGACGTAGTGGAGTCTACTTTGTTTGTTGCAGCTGGGACAACTGTTTGATACATCAGTTGGCATAACAGGTGATTCTCTATAAGGTAGTTTGTGGGTTTGGTTTATGCTAAAAGATTTGTTTGTTTTTTTATAGATTAAGATTATTTGAGAGTGTAAAATTGTTGTAGGGGAAGCTGAATTGGCAGAACTAGATGGACCATTTGTAAAGATACGTCTGAAAGGTAGATTTTGGCACATGCGCTCTACTGTTGTTGCAAGAATTGGTAATTATCTGAAGCAGAGGATCCCTGTAAGTCATGTTCGTGTAACTTGTTATCGATGAGACGAATGTATTGCCGTAACTTCGTTTGATGTTTTCTGTGATCAGGAAATCTTGGAGGTTGACATAGAGGAGGAGAAACAACTAGATGACAGCCCTGAAAATTTTTGAGAACATGTAAGGTAAATTACATTAACCTCTTGTTCCAAAAGCATACGCTTCCGCCCTTTATTACCAACGAGTTCCGTTAGCCATAACAAAATGATATAAAATTACAGAATTGTCTTCATATAGAATTAAAAAAACAGAGAAAGGTCAAAACTTTCTTTCTGACTCAAACAAAAAGCCTCAAAAACCCTCTTCTGCTCCTAATGGGAAGCAGAGAAGTTTCTCCACACCCTGCAAGTATTGCCCTTCCCTTGATTGTTGGAAAATCCCTTGAATTTTTTTGGCTTTTATCTATAAGGAGAATATTATAATTTTATATTTCTTTTGGTCATAGTTAACAAAATCTGTTAATGATAGAGCGCAAAGTTTTATGTTTTGAAGTTAAGAGGGAGGAAAGTGTTAGATATAGAAAACTCAAGGGTACTTATTGTAATTTATCCTAATTATTTAGGCTATTAGCTTCTCTTTTTTTTTTTTTTTCTTTAAATTGACAATTAGGATTACAGATATGTTTTCTTTTTCCCTTTCATGTGTTATAAAATGCTGCAATTAATTTTATTACCTTCTTCAAGGAAAATTAATTTTTGATTATTATTGTAGATGCTTGACAAGCTAACAGAACCTGCCTCATCTTCATCCTCTTACTCTATAGATGTTACATGTTGTTGGGAGCACAATAAATCCATCAATGGGCAAAGAAGATGACATTTGGGTGCAAACTGCATCAGAACATACTTCAGTGATTTTTGAAATCGAAACTTCTTACCGACATTGAAGCACCAAATAAACTCAAGTTTATCCCCAAAAGACTCAGTTTAATCGGTAATATATGCTATTTGGATAAATTAGTAGGTCTGTACAATTATTTATAAATT